GCTTGGGAGTATCTGTAGTTAGGATGAGGTGGAGAGATAAAAGTACGGAAACTCATGAAAAAGGGTGAGAAAAACTGGAAATTGCCTCAAATAACTGTTTTTCCTTTTTCCAAGCTAGCTCCCTGATAAAAGCGCCAGAGAGGCGATGACAGACCAGGAAATACACAGTCATTAACTTCACATGCTGTTTCCAAACTTTCATTCAATTTCTTTCAGTACAACAGATAATAATGGCACAGTAGTTTTGCTTTTTGGAATCAGTATAAATATCTCAGAGGGCTTTACTGTTATACTCACTCTGACATATTTTACAAGTATATAACGTGTAATGAACTTTGAATCTACAAATAGCTAAAAGGAAATTCCCTTACATACATTGCTTGCGGCGTCCGCAGAAGTGTTGTCTCTGGAGCTTTCCGGGCTGGTACTCATGGTGATGGCGGAGGTGGTGGTGATGACGGTGGTGGCTCTCGTAGGGGTTGTTTGATTTAACGCTGCTGGACCAGTCAGTCTTATCAGCGGGCACTCTGCGCTCAGCTGATCGCTTGTAGATGACATGTGGGTGATGTCCAGAGGGGGCACTGTAGTTGTGTTGTAAAGCCAAATGCTGCGGTAGCGGAGTGATGAGAAGTTCCTCGCCGGAAAACCGGATCAGACCTGACTGCAGAGTACAGAGAAAGAGGAAGCTATGAGTAGGCAACCAATAACAAACACTGAGGTTGGACAGCATCTCGGATACATACTACTGTTTAAGAGTTTTGGGTCAGCAAGATTTTTTTAATGTTTTTGAAAGAGGTCTCATGTTCACCAAGCCTGCATCTATTTGATCAAAAATACAGTTAAATTAAACTAAATTACTTAAAAAGATTTTTTTATTATTTTATTTTATTCAACTTTAAAATGTAATTTATTCCTGTGATGGCAAAGCTGATTTTCAGAAGCCATTACTCCAGAGTTACAGTTCAGAAATGATTCTAATATTCTGATTTGATGCTTAAGAAACATTTCCTATTATTATTAACATTGCAAACAGCTGTGCTGCTCAATTTTTTGTTTAATCCATGATCAATTATATTTTTCTGCCACTTTTGAACAATTTAATCCATTATTGCTAAATAAATGTATTAATTTAAAAAATCTTTTTAAATGGGTCATTAAAATTCTACATAATTCCAAATTATTTCATCTAAAAAATAATAACATAATAAAATAATACAATAAAATGTTTAAATGCTATATGAATCTATAGGCATAACAACATTATAATGTACAGTATGAAAAATAGATTGATTTTGATATTTAAAAATAGAGGAAATGAATGTGTAAAATTAAGTATCCAAAATTAGCCCGTAATGTCATATTTACAATATTGTGCTCTAATGACAGCTGATATCCAAAACAGTACTGGTATATTGTACATCTCTAATTGCCCCCAAAATAGCAGGTTAAGAGAATATTTCAGCTTAAATACAAGTTGAGCTCTATCGACAGCATCTGTTGCACACTATATGATAATTGCCCAAAAGATTTCCATTGTAAGCACA